TCGCTAGTAGGTGGTAGGTAGTATGCACAAGCAAAACAAAAGTGACAGCGCAGGCTGGAGGCCAGCGCTACAAGTTCTAAACAACAAGCAGGTACACATCAAGGCGTCCCTTGACGCTTCCCCTGTCACATCCCAGCTTCGTTGGGCCAGGTAGGATGCGACAGGCCTGGCCCCCCTGCTTAAAAAAAGAAAACATTCCAACAGGAACCTTTTGACTCAAAGGTTACACACACACACGAGTATCCAAATGCCAGTCGCACTCGGCCGAACAAAAAAGTTGAAACCACATCGGCAGATGGCAGGGAAGCCGAATCTGACAACACAGCGACAGGTAGGTGGGGGTCCTGTTGGTAAATTGATACAATTCCGTTTCCAGCATTGAGTGATCAATCATTGTACATTATATATTATTCCGCCCGAGGGCAAACCCCGTTCTTGGCAAAACAAACTCAAGGTAGCTCTTTTTTCAAGACTGTTCAAAATGGTTCAAAAGGACGTCTATACAGGTTCCGCGGCAGCGCCGGTCCTCTTTCTTTACGTACAAGCCCAGGCTGGAGTTTGCTCTTAAGAGATTGCCCATTGTGAGCTGGCCAGCTCGAGCACAGCCATCGGTCTGAAAAGGATAGGTGACATGCACCGTCCTGGTTTCACAAGTCACGGGGAGCATTGAAGCTCATTGTCACGTCTCGATCATTCTCATGCATAAACCAAACCATCCACTTTGCCTTCGTTACCTCTGACACCTGAGATGACCTCATCAATGCACAAATGTTCGGAACAAGCACCGTTTCTGCAAGAAGTACACCTCAGGCATGGAGACCAAGGACAGGCGCTGAAGGCTCGCGTCTCCAATTTGAACACATCTTTGGCACCTCAATGTTCCAGCTGCAGATCGAGTGAATGCGCCAAGAATCTTGCGGCAACCAGCGCTTGCAATTACAGTAAAACTATGTAAAACTAGCCTGAGCTTGGCACGTGAAGTTGGACATATATTGCCAGGAACCAAGCTCACCAATCCACTTACCACTGACACAAGTGAAGGTCGCATTTTGCCGAGGGCCTTCCCATTGAACGCCACCCCGAATCTTGGCAAACAACCTAGACGTATCATTGCAACTGGCTGATATCTGCGAAGCCGGAGAGAACGACTCGGGAAGCGGAACTTTTCTGAGGCCCGATTCGGCAAATGAGGTTGAAGCTTCCATGTATCGGCAGCGTGTGCAAGAACCATCTTGCTTTCCGAGAAGAAGTTGCAAAGCATCGCAAGCATCAGCCTGGTGATGGAACAGGCACGGCGGAATTTCTGATGGTTCCACGCTGAGCATGCTTCGACGCTTGATCTCTTCCCAGCATCTCTCCGGATTTGCGATGTGACAATAAGTAGAGTTACCACTCGGAGCCATTCCATACAACTCGTTCTCAATTTGTAAGCCAACGTCTTGTATGTAGTTGCACCTTTGGAACAGGGTGCATCTCTCGGAGGCCTTTCCAAACAAATAGAACCCGCATTGTGCTTTGGAGGCGCAGGCTCGCTGGCATCTTTCCAAGTCAATGTGAAATAGATCACCCAAAGAGGCCTGAGGGACAAAAGCATCCAGGAGTGCCGTATCACACCATCCAACGGACCCTCCTCGTACTGAAGAGGCATTGTTGATGACACGGATGCGATTCCCTCTAAGGCCCTGGCACTCTCCTCACAGGTATATGGCCCGGAGAACAACCGCTGGTCGGGAACCTGGGAGATAATTTTCGTGAGATCCGAACCTCCCTAATAGTCCTTGACGGGGGGAGCAAATTCGTTTGGGTGTTTAGCTGCTAATGTTGCGCGTGTGCCTCTCTGAGTTGGCTTTGTGGTGACCCGGACCGTCCAAGGCCTAGGGACCAAGCCAACATTGAACTTGCCGTCTGCTTTGCGGGGTACAGCTGCATTGGATTCAGCATCTACTGGCTCAACGTGTGCATGAGTTTCCCCGAAGCATTCGCAGGGGTGTAGTGAATAATAGTCGGGGACGCTGACGGTTCCAAAAAGCAAGTCTTCCGTTGGCTTTGAGCATGATGGCATCGCCAAAGACAAGCTCCCATTTTGAACGGCATCAGCTGGTGTATCAAGCTCTGCTGGGAGTAGTTGCAATTCAATGATCTCTTGGCCGTTTTTGAAAGCTTTGCCAACCACGTCCGGCTCTATGCAAGCCACGGGGTCCCCGAAGAACTCAGGAGCTTTGCTGGACTCTGCGTCCTCGAAGTCGGAATAATTGGTATGCAGAAGCAACCACGTCGACCTAACAAATGTTGTTCTTTTGTCACCCTGACGAACTATAGGGAAGTAGTGGAAAAAACAATTTGAAGAACCAGATAACCCCACATGCCAAGTTTTTCTTTGCGTCAAAAAGCGGATGAAAACACGTGGATGTAAAAAGTGATAGCATATGAGGCGAGCCGGATTGGATGGCGTGATGCGAAAGGATGTGTGTGTGTGTCAACACCTGTTTGCAAGGATCTCACAACTAACTCATGACACTTGCAATCGGACTACTTTGTGATAGTCCCACTCGGTTCTGTTTTCATGCAGCACGGGGCACCTGGAGCGGAGATGGGGCAGGCGCCAACGAAGACACCTATCTCTTGCTCGTGATATCGACGGGAGACGTCCTGTCGACGTACCTGCGACCAATATTTGAACTGTTGAACAAGCTGTCTACTACGGTGTTTTGCAATAAGCCGCTAATGCACCACAACAACTTGTTAAACATCTTCAATTTTACGGACTTCCTCGCCTTTCGGTTCGCACTTTTCTTCCAGTCAAGGGGAACTTCATACTGATTCTAGCTCTTGCGAGCAACCATCTAAGTGTGTTTTCGCCACATGCAGGGTCCCACTGAGGGCTGTGGTGTGATCCCCGCCAAGGGGCGCAGCATGTGCGTAGACCCAGATCCCCATATGGGATTGCTTCCACCTTGGCACTTCCTCTGATTGATTGCTTTGCGCGATACCACTGATCTACGCCGCAGGGCCTACTGTGATCAAAATCTCGGGAATATGTCACCATTGAAACATGCGTCTAAGTATTCACTTGTACAGTTCTCAGAAGAGGTCACCCTAGGCAGGATCCAGCATGATACTTCAGGCACGGCGTGAGGTCCATGCGCTGGCACCACTTTTCGTTCTGCGCATCCATCTTACGGCTACTACTGCGACGCCATGAACTACCAGTGGGTGTCTCAGCCCTCCCCTACACCAAGTGCGCCGACACCGTATGGTCCTATGTCGCGGTGGCACCATCGACTCCGTACGGCACAGTTCCCACCATGCAGATCCCACTGCCTCAGATCCAGCCAGTTCAGCCAGTTCTACCTTCCCCACAGTTTCAATACGCTCCCACTTTACATCCACCGACCTTGTCACCCCAGATGACTCACATGCCAAATACACACCTTGTTCAGATTCCTTCCACATTTCACACCCTACAGCCGTCCCACCAACCAGACCCAAGTCTTACTTGGAGTCCCCAAACCCTGATTGTCGCCCCGCAGTCCTATTGGCCAACTCACCCACCAGCGGTTGCGCCCGCTGCAACTCCCACCGAACATCCTCCATCCACATCCACACCCCTCCACCCCAGTCAACTCCCCGCTGCTGCTCCTCCACCCACATCATCCCCACCAGCAGACCCTGCCGGGCAGCCCCAAGCTCTTCCATTGAGCGCATCTCAAGATACAACCGCCACAGCAACTACCCACCACGACTCAAAAATCACACTTCCACCAACCCACCACCTGCAGCAACTACACCTGCTACACCTGCCGCCCCGGACGCCGCCGCCGCACGACCACCGCCACTCCATATCACAGTTCCTACACCGCATCCGCCACCCAAACAACCCTCACTCGCAGTTCCAACACCACCACTACCAAAAGCCACGGTCCGTCAAAGATCGACTACCACTACTACTACCACTACTTCTACCACCACTCCCAAGAGCTCGGCCGCCCCTGTCCCAAACAACATCCCCCCGCCCGCCCTCAGCCACCCGCGGGTCCACCGCCCAAACGCGGCGTTTGGGCTCCACCGCCTTTGACCAGTTTACAACAGCAGGGCTCGATCTCGCTCCCCTCACCGCTCCAACATTCGACTCACCCCCAACCCTCAGCATTCGGATGCCACGGCCTCCGGCTCCACCCCAGATTCCGCCAACACCCCACGCCCCAAGGGCATCCATGTTGCCACCAGCACACGCACCGAAGCCGCTCAGCCTCATCGACGGCCTCTCAATCCCTACACCAAAGCCGATCACGACAATGCCAGCCACACCCACGGCGCTGACACCTTCAACCGCATATACATCACCAATGCGATCCGCTCTCGGACCGCAATACCCCTATGCTGAACTATGTCGCCAAGGTTCTCACCAACGCTGGCATCCTTGCCAAGGACCTCCAGGATCTTGAGCAGTGGACCCATTCCGATTGGGACAATGACGCCAATGAATACGCCACCACGAAGTAAATTTCACTCTATATCCCTCGCCTCCAAGACCGAAATCGAATCGACCGCATTCCTCGTCGTCGCAACCAAACTAACACCCAACATGGCACTGTGCATGTGTTTGCAGGCCATGCTACGGAAGAGGGCAATTTACTCAATCTCCTTCAATCCGGACGCTTCAAACCCAGTACACAGCACTCCCCCCATGCACAAGGTTTCTATGCCCAAGGTTACGAAACCACGGGAAGATGATCTACGAGGCCTGGCACACAGCCCGAGTCATCGACAAGAACTGCCAGATGGCCAAGAACCGGGCAGGCATCATGCTTCATTGCATGGCGTGGGGAACCGGCAAGAAATTTACCCAAGGAGGTGAACCTGAAGGAGAACGCCTTCTAGCGGCAAACCATGGAGTTGTCAAGCATGACAAAGGCAAACGCTACATCATCCATCCGGACAACGTCGTGATCCGTAGGAATGCAACGCGACCCCACCACAGTCTTTTTTGTGTTGCACCCTTACTTATCGGTCGTTCTACATTCCCTCGGTTTTCCCATTCCCAGTCCCTCTCAATCCTCCCATCCCCATTCAGTTGCACCTCAGAAGAAAGATTTTATGACGACTACATCCTACTGCAGTTTTTGGATCCATTCCCAACCCCCTTGGGACGACTTTCGCTTTGCGCGCCATGGTCACTCGCTCTACACTACCTGGCCCCAATCCTCAATGTGACCGCATTGCTCAATGTGTTTCCAATGTGGCCTCCACCTTACGGCTGCCCGCCTCTTCACTGGATGAGATTCACGACATCCTTCGCGGACAACCTCCGCCAGCTCCTACGATGGGCTATCCACCGGTTTTGCAGCAACCACTTGGCCTTCTGGCTCCCATGCAAACCACCAGTCACCCCACTCCACCTCCCACAGCGACCCACCACTTTCGTGGGAACCTTCAGACCAGTAGCTGCACCTTCACAACTTGGTGCTTCCACCAGCGACGATGAGCCACCCTTTCCAGATCCCTCCCATGTCCCCCACATTCCATCATCCTTGGATGACAGCGATTGCTCCTCGGCACCGGCCATACCTCCTCCACCCAAGCGACCTCGCACTCGCCGTTCCGCCAAAGCCAAGGCCAAATCCAGCCCATCAGCACCATCCGCCAAACGCCGCTCTCAACTTACCAGGAACTTCATGAAAACTGGGACTCTTGGGAACCATGGCAAGAAGAACAACTTGTCGACATGAAGACCAACGCCAAACTACGCCCCAGCTGGAACTTTATCGCCAAGAAGCTCCAATGTACACCCGCTCAGTGCAAGGCACGTTGGTCAGAGATTCTGTCACTTCAGAACGGCGGCCACACTGATGCACCACCGGCAGATCGCATCGACTCTGGAAGTCTTCTCGAAACACCCGCCCCACCATCACCGGCGACTCATCCCCTTGCCTCCATTCCTTCCGTGGACCAGAGCCACGCCGACGATCCGCCTCCAGTTCCTGAACATACGACTATGACCACTTCGGCAACCCCATCACTGGCACCGCCAACCTATGTGGAGCCACCTCACCCTGGTGAACCTGAAGTACTCACTATGCCTTCGACACCATCGACTACCAGTGCTCAGAACCCATGCTTCTTGTCCGCTCCTGCTCCGGATGCTCCGACCCGGTTGATTTTCACTTGTCTCACAATTTTGATCCTCAACGCTTGCTTCTCTCGCGGAAAAGAGCATCTGCGCGACCAACCGACATTTTCCCCCACGGCCCCTTCGGATTCCCTCCCGTGTCCCATATTACCTCAGCCATCTCGACATGTGGCGAATTACGTCCGTGATGTCGCAGTACCATGCGGCTTTGCGCGGCCTTGCTGGGAAGTATACGTTTGCGCGGCGCCGTGCCACTGAAAAGGGCGCGAAACATGCTTTAAACGCGGCGTGTCGCTGGTGAGCGGGATGATTGGCGGCATCGTGTGATAGGATTGCTTCTAGTGTGTGGGCAGAGCGTGTGGCGAAAGTACGTCCGTAAGATGCGGATTGGATGACAATTGGCGGTTTCGTGTGATAGGGTTGCGTCTAGTGTGTGGGCAGACCGTGTGGCGAATTACGTCCGTGATGTCGCAGTGCCGTGCGGATTTGCACGGCCTTGGTGGAAGGTGCGTTTGCGTGGCGCCGTGCCACTGGCGAGCGTGAAACACACTGGCGTAAAGGCGGCGTGTCGCTGGTGAGCGGGATGATTGGTATCGCGCGATAGGATTGCTTCTAGTGTATGGGCAGACCATGTGGCGAATTACGTCCGCGATGTCGCAGCACCGTGCGGATTTGCACGGCCTTGGTGGAAGGTGCGTTTGCGCGGCGCCGTGCCACTGGGAAGCGCGAAACGTGCTGGCGTAAACGCGGCGCGTCGCTGGTGAGCGGGATGATTGGCGGCATCGTGTGATAGGATTGTTTCTAGTGTGTGGGCAGAACACCGATCAGGGCCTGGCAGCCGCAGTGGTTGAAGGAGGGTTAGGCCGGTGTGGTGGGATGTGCTCAAGGACATGCAGGGGAGCGTGACTATACGTTGACGTTGCGCTGCCGTTGCATCTACGTCTACACCCCTCACCTCTGTACATTTACATCTTCACACGCTCACATCCGCAAATCTACCTCTCTACCTCCACACACCCACACATCTGCACATCTATATCACATCTGTACATCCAGACCGTCACTCCTTCACATCCGCCCTCTCTTTCTTTCTTTCTTTCTTTCTTTCTTCTTTCTTTCTACATATCTTTTCTCTCACCTCTATACATTTACATCTTCACGCGCTCACATCTACAGATCTACCTCTCCACCGCCACACGTCTGCACATCTATATCGCACCTGCGCATCCACACTGTCACTCCTTCACATCCGCCCTCTCTTTCTCTCTTTCTGCATATCTTTTCTCTTCATATTTTAGATCTAATTTCGTCGCAACTTCTTACTCAATAACAGTTTGTATAAAGAAGTCATGGCTTTTGGACAACTCGGTTTTAAAAATTTCATGACTCGACAATGCTGGACAATCACCTGTCTCGCTCTCGGGCCAACCGTCGTCTAGTTTCATTCTTTCCCCTTCACACACTTCTGTTTCTTCTCTTTTCGTTTATGTCTTCCTGTCTTCATGTTCTGTCCTTTCATCGCTTTCCTTCCTTTGCGCGCACATGGCCTGGCCCTTAGTTTGTACATGCGCAACCTACTTTAAATTAGGTTTTGGGTTGCCCAGGTCTTTACAATGAGGTGGGTTCTCATCGGTTGTCCCTGTGCACTTGGTTCCCTTTCATTGCAGCCACACACACCTTTGTCCTGTCTTGTCTCCTCTTCATGTCTTCATTCTTTTTGTCTTCTGCGTACGCACTCACACTTTGGCCGTGACCTTAGTGCTTCTTGCCTCCCTTTGGGGGGGCGTGTGTGTGTGTGACCTTTGGAATCACAAGGTTCCTTTTGAAGTATTTCGCTGTAGACTTGATTTTAAAGCAGGGGGCTCGTGGACGCACGGATGGCACGAGCCAACGAAGACCCATCCATGTCGTCGCGAAAACGTCCCTGCAATTTAATCGCTCCTGGGTCTGTGAGTGACAGCTGGAGGATCCCAAGCTTTGGTCCCTGCTTGTAACTAGTACAAGATCTTTCTTCTTGCTTCGGTTCTGCTGTCACGCAAAGGGCTTTGCTTTTGCTTTCTTGAGTTTTGGAGTTTGGCCACCTAACGACGAGAAATGATCAGGCCTCACCTTACCTGACCTTTCAGGAACTTGGTACACTAGGTTGCCGTGCGGCGAGCGGCATTCGAGTCAGTATGCATTTCAATAAGTGTGTGATGTTGGTGTTTTGAGGTAGGTAGGTGGTCGTGATGATGATGATGACGACGACGACGACGGTGATGGTAAATGAAGGTGATATCATGCTTGCAAGAGTTGGTTTATCTTAATTCTAATGCACGGGCTACTGACAAAGCTATGTGACCCCCTATAGGGGGCAGCGAAAGGCAAGACAGCGTCAAGTGAAATGAGTATGCCTGAAAATGCCCTTTACTTCAAACTGCTCATGTTGATCACTTTTGGTCGACCTTGGATAGAGAAGGAGTGTTGAAGAAGTTGAAGCAAAAGGGCAAGGTGTGTAGCCTGCTCACGCCTGCTCGCCTTGTGGTGGCCTTGGTTGTTCTTTTGGTGTATTTTGGGGCGGCCAGATCGTCTAAACTAGCAAAAGGCATAGTGTGGCTGAAGATAAAGCCACGCATGACCCCGGAACTGAGAGGCCCGCAATGTCCACGCTGGAGTCTCAACTTTTAATGTGTCTTCTCTGTTCATGGAGGTTTAGTATAAAGTGATATGGCTTGATAGCCAGCTGTCCAACCCACATTATTGACAATGAAATCTCCTGCTCAACCTACCCAGCAGGAATTGACACAACGAATGGACTGACGACTGGATTAAACAAAGACACCCGCTTTACCCAACCTGAGTTTCCCCATATAATGATGAAAAGTCGATCCTTGAAACACGTGTCTGATGCTGAAAAACCGGAAAAGGCTACGACCCCAGCAGGAACGCTGCCAAAAAATTACGATTTCTGCCTGGAGACTTGGCACAAGCCTCAGGGACCTGCTCTACATTCTCCCTTCGACTCAACAAAAGCTGCCGTTCTGGATTTGATCCCGGGCGAGAATATGATGCTCTGTCATGAAACATGTTCATCACCGAAAACTCCCCTGTCAAGTACTGTGCTCCAGGGACAGTCAGGTTGAGGCTGGCATCCTGTTCTGAACAGTTGTTGAAACGCACCTGCACCGGAGCGTCCACCAAGCTCTCATCGCCATCACTCACCATGATGTTGCACGTCCCGCTTTCATTGTGGTGCACAGCAGCGCAATCATCTCGGCGACGGCACTCTTGCTTGCACGCGCTTAAAGAAATATTCTTCAGCGTCGTCCAACGGAATGACCCCGAAATTTCTCTAGGAACCCAGCCTTAGAAGCCGCTGACAAGAGGGTCTTTCTTTTGGACGTCAATCAGGGAGCGGAGGTTCTGGAATACAGAACTGTAGAATTGTAAATGCGCAAAACACTCACACCAAACCTTTACAGGATAGGCCAACTTTGACTGGGTCGTCGGACAAACATCATCCAACACCTGGACGTTGAGGATTGCCACCGGCAGCTCCTTGTCATAGATTTGGCCTGCTTGCGTCACCCACCGTCAAATGACCACTTTGAGACTTTGCGTGTTTAATCTCTGCTTATTTTTTCACATGATGCAGCTGGAGTCTGCTGCTACCATGTTTAGGTAGTCTTAGTAGAAAGGGAAATAGAGAGGGCTGGAGGGAGAACAGTTGGTTGGGCGCTATTCCAGTTTGCTCAAGACATTGCTTGCTTGGAGATTTGCAGTCTTTGGCAACAATTTAGATGTTGAATGTTGAAGCTACCCGAATCTGAAAGGACTCTAAGTGCACTGCGGTATGGAGTACCATTGGCTCAATAGGATCGCTATATAGAACTGCGCCCACGCATATCTTGGCTGCCAGATGTTAACCCCTATTGCAAACGACTCTGAGCACTGCCGTCTAGCAAAGAAACTTGTTTACGGCAACGTCGTCGTTAGCGGCTGTGGGTATTTTGCTACTTTTTGCTAATTTTCGCTCGTTTTTGTAAACTTTCGGTGCCGGGTGGCGTTTAAGGGTGTTTTGCGTGTTTCCAGTGAGGTGCCCTTTTTTTTGGGGGGGGTTTGGGTTACGAGGTTGCGTTTAGGGTGGACTTGCATGTTTCCAGTGAGGTTCCCTTGTTTTGTGGGGGGTTTTGGTTTACGAGGTTGCGTTTAGGGGTGGTTTGCGGGGTTTCAGTGACGTTCGGTCGGAGGGGGTCGGCGTCTACTTTGCCCTTCGGTCGCAGCGTTCACTTCTTCGCGCGCAGCTTTCACTTCAAGCTTACCGAACCGCCATGCTGACGACTGTGGAGTTCTTTGAGTTCTTCTTGCTGCTACTGGGCTTTGCGTCAGCTACAAGGTGTGCCGTGGGATTACTTGCTCAATGAGTTGGTGTTCTTGCGTCAACTGACTCCGCTGCTGGTGATGGGTCGGTTTGAGCTGTACGAGACGTGCGCATGGTGTTTGCCCCTCGACTCTACGACCCGGTCGTGGCTTCGACTCTACTTCTCACAGAGGGCCGCAGGGAAGTACCCTTCTCCTGCTTGTCTGTGCAGACGCTTCGGTTCAGAGGTCAGCCTGGTGGTTGTATCTTCACAAGGCTTTTCGACTTCCGAGAGGCCTAGAAAGGTCGACAGGAGCTGACCACAGTCAAGCTCAGTGAGCAAGTCGAAATGGATGCTACGAGTATTTGCAGGTTTCACATCTCCAGGAAAAATGAAGCTTGGCAAGCTGCCATTGCCATGTGGCAACAACGTCACGCAGACGAATCCTCTGCGAAGTTCTTCGATGCGCGCGCGCGAATTGGTGGGGCGGCGCAAAGAGGGCAGATCCTCGTGGCTCCGCTGCCTTGCGTGTTGTTGCAATGACACCTGGATCCAGACCTCCAACTGAGAGCAATGAAGATGTTGCTAGTACAGGCTTGTTGGACAGTCTCGATGAAGACCTCGAGACCATAGTGTATGCGGACGGCTGTCGCGCCCGGCGCAAAGCTGCTGACGATGCTGGGTTTGATTTGCAAGAAGTCAACCATTCCTTGACGCAATTCGCGCGCCCGTTTCGCCGGCGTCGCAAAGCGCACATGGCTGGCGCACAGGCGCTGGATTCCTTGTGGAGACGACTTGAAGGTGTCATATACCAAAAGAGATAGCCACAAAACATGTCAAGAGTCGTCTTGTGAATCCAGATATACATAACTGGGTTTTCTCGCGGCAGCGGCGGCGCAATGCCAAGATCCGCTGTCCGGACCTTTGGGGCGCAGTCCCGGAACTTTACTTTTCCGTTGAGCCAACCAGCCAACACACTGCACCAGAACTGCAGAGAAAGATGGGCCGCGAGAAATGCAGACGTAGTTGCTCTGTATAGTCTTGGATAGTTGGTTCCGGGATTGGCGGCCAGGGTGAGGTGTGCTGCCGGTATACTGCGAGTGCGTCGGCCCACGCCGGGTCATATTTAACTGGATGATGGAACCAGAAGTCTCTTGTGGCAAGCATTGCTTCATCATACTCCAAGGCAGTGCGACATTCCTGGCCATTGCTTTGGAGTAGCGGCCCGTGGTAGAAAGTCCCTCGAGGGCAGATAGTCTTTAAGCGGTCCCAGAAAAGGCGCTGCCTTCTGGCCCTTCTAATTGGGTCGGTTTGCTCTTGGCCAAAGGGAAGTGTGGTGACAGCTGCTGTTGCAACTTCTGCTGCTTGTAGTGCCGTGGCAACAATTGTGGCCGGTACAAGGTAAGAATTCTGTTGCGTCGACCACTCTTGCAATAAATCATGGTATCCACTTTGCTCATAGAGAAGTTGGAGCTCAGTTTTTGCAAGATGTATAAGTGTTTGACCTTGGCCCACCTCTTCAGAGGAGAGAGTTGCTTAAAGGCACTAGAGGAGCTTCGCCACCAGCTCCAGATTAAGGCGCGGAAGTGCACCGATATGGGAGTGGAGGCAGGACAAGTTTCTCGGGCTAATGAGTTTCGTCGCCGGAGGAGATGCAGTGCCTTTTGTCGTTATTCCTCCTTTGGGTCCGTCGATGAGGCAGTGGGGTCTAAAAAGACTCTGGCGGGAATAGTCTGATGTTTTTCAGACTGGGGATGCGGACTTAGTCTTGGCTTCATGGTCAAGAAAACTGCAACGACCTTGTGATGACAAGTAGCTACTCGATACCTGCCTCTGATGCGAGCATGTAGCTGCGCCGTATCCAGAAAAAGACTAGGAACTAGGAATCGATCAAGGGATGACTCTTGATCTCCGTGACGGAATGTAGGATAGTCAGGATCAACATCAGTAGATCCTAGTTGTGCCAAGAAGTCATCCCATATTTGAAGATGGTGCTGATCACAACGATTAAAGTCACCACCTATGAAGATAGGATGGGCCAAATCGAACATGCCTGGTAACTGACACAGGCTGCAATCGCATAGTGAATTGCAAGAGTCTTTTCTGCAGCAAGGACCCATCCTGGGGGGAGGAGGATTGCCACTCCCGCCTGCGGATGTGGATCATGCTTAGCAAGGGTGGCAGCAATTTTGACAACCGGCCATGAATGTGCAAGGTACTGCAGTTGAGCTGGGCTCCACTTTGTCTCTTGCAGTAAAACTGGAGCAGTTTTAAGAAGAGTGCGGATAATCCATGATTGTGAGCATTAGTAGGTAGTTCTGGGTGCCAGCTATTAAGGTTCCATGTATGGACGTTGCGTGCGAAAGGCAAGGATTTTTGACAAAGCTGCCAAAATTGTGGAGGCACTACACGGAGCGAATGCATTTCATTTGGTATATACCACCGGATAATATTCATCTTCTCGTATAACTGGTACCTCACGCTTGAAGGGCATTCATTGCTTCGTGAAGGTCAATTGCACTGTCAAAGCCGCAAAGTGAGAGGAGGTCATCTACATGCAGCCGTCGATAAGCTGTACGAGGATGAACGAAGTGGATTAAAAAGTGAAGCGATGAGACATGAGTGAGGGATTTGCCACAGTTCTCTTGCGTAGTATGCCAATAAACAGCACGGAGTCCAGCCGAGAGGGTACGTTGCGCAATACGGAGGGTTTTGAGCGGGAGGCGATGAAGCACCGTCATACGACAGAGATGAGAGCTTGAGCTCTCTGGAAAACTAAACGAGCAGCTTCTCCGTAAATGCAAACGTACCAACCATTCTCGACTCTGGCTTGCTGGCATAAATCTATACAGGTGTGAAGGTAAAGTTGTTTGGCAGCCGCAAGGACAACATCGACCTCAGGAAGTCTGTACTCTTGGAAGTGTTCATTTGCCGCTACAGTGACAATTTGATTGTACTCATGCTCGTCATAAGTAGCAACTGCCTGACAGACAAAGAGGATACAGTATTCGAAAGGGACACTTGCTCCCCAGATAGTTGGCTGCTCTTGTGGATGGAGCGCGCGGGCGCCCAAGGGACAGATGCTGAGGCATCCGCCCTTGATGCGCCCTTCAATGATAATGAGAGGAAGTTGACAGAGAACATGATGGCAATCATTGACAATCGGATATTGTTGGAACGTATCGGCTCTAGCAGAAGCGCTTTGCGCAAGCCTCCAGAGAGCACAGCCGGGCTCACTGAAAGTACGCAGAAAGGGAAGTTCCGCAATGAAAGCGGTGGGACCTTGCTGTAAAGCAAAACCAACGACGCTTGAGACCGCTGCAACTACAACAACAGTGCAATTGCTAAACATAGAAGAGTGTTCATTGCTACGTGTCGCAGGTGGACAGATATTGACAGACTGTCCTCCATAATTGAATAGCATAAGATTTAAGGTGTCATCCAGTCCTAACAAATAGATGTGCTCGACTGCAGCAGGACCGATGTAGTGGATGTGTACTGGCATGCGTTTGTACCATATGATGAAGAAGCCAGTGCGCCCATCTGAAAAAGCGCCAACAACACACCGCAAGAATAGAACAAGGCTAGAAAATGATTTGTTGAGCAGAAGACCTTGATGATAGCTTGTAGCAGTGGAGCTTTGGCCGAATGGGCAATTGCATTGGCAACATCCTCATTGAACATAAGTCATTGCGGGACTGCAGTGTCGTCGACTATATCAGCTAAACCAACATCAGAAAGAAATTGACGAAAGGGAGGGCTGCCTATAGCTCGTAGACGGGTGTCAGCTTCTCGCTTCAGGTCATTTCGAAAAGCATCTTTGGTCTTTGGTAAGATAAGGTGGTGGCAAGTTGCCTATTGTGG